GGACCGCGATGATGGACAGGACTGTGGGCCGGTCACGGCGCGGGCCTCGCGGTCTGGAGGGGCTCCGGGGGGCAGGGCCCGGCGGGCAAGCCTCTCAGCGAGGGGGCGGGGCCTTGGGGAAAGTAGCAGCGCTCCCAGCCAATGGGAGGCGTCGGCTGTCCCGTTAGCGCCGGATTCCGGCGGAGAGGGCGGGGCGGGCGGCGCCGTGGGGATCCCGGGGCACTAAAGGGCCCCTGACTTGGCTCAGCGCGGCGACATGGACCGGATGGCGAGCTCTATGAAGCAGGTGCCCAACCCACTGCCCAAGGTGCTGAGCCGGCGCGGGGTCGGCGCGGGGCTGGAGGCGGCGGAGCGGGAGAGCTTCGAGCGGACCCAGGTGAGGACTAGTGGACCGCTGGGGCATGGCCAGGGCGCCCCGAGAGATACAGTGCCCGGGATGGGACTTTGAAGGCAGGAAGGATCTTGCACACCCTGGCGGGGGGGACGGGGCCAGGGGGCTGCGAGGGGCCTCCATTTGGTGTGCAGATCTAGGCGATTCCAGGAGATCAGGGACCCTGGGACCTCCCAGCCGGCCTGCGGGAAAGGGCAGGAGGGCCAGGGGCAGGCTCCAAGGGAGCAGGGTGGTCCGTGCGGCGGGGCCCGGGGGGGGGGGCTGGACCGGGCGGGGACAGGACAGGGTCACAAGGAGGGGAAGAACCGAAAAGGGGCCGAGTGGAAAGGTGTCTCTGGGTGGGTGAAGAGCATGGGGTGGGGTGGGAGGGGACTTGGAGACGCAGTATGGGGGCGGAGAGTGGATGCGCTGAGTTGAGGAGGTGAAGAATTGGCAGCCCTCTCCTCCTCTCTCGACCCGCCCCTTTTCTATTGCACTGACATTTCCCCCAACCCCTGAACACCCCTTTTCTCCTCACCTCTTATTGGAATCTCGCCGCCCCCAGTTGTCGGCCTGGAAGGGCCAGGCTGAAGGGGTCTGAGTGTTGAAAAAAGAATGTAGGAAATGCCAAGTGTGGCCGGGCCTGGAAAATGACTTGGGGCTGGAGGAGGGGGTCAGTCAGGGGGCAGGAATTGCGACGCCTGACGGGACAACCCATTGCTGTTTGGGATGAGCTGCCCGTGGTGCCCAGAGCCCTGACTTGGGGTTTTGGTTTCATCTCTTTAAGATGTGTCTAACAGCTAATAGGCACCCTGCCCCATTTGTCCAGCTTGACCGTGACTGGGGTCAAAATCCTCAGCGTCATCAACAAGAAGCCACAATCCATTTTACCTTAGAGTTTTAATGTCTTAAGTATTGATTTGACTGAAGAAAGCTGGCATGTTTATGCTGTTCATCAGTTCGTTTGTATGTAAAATCCATTTTCAATGGATACAACTCTTCTTTTAATCTGGGTGCCAAGGTTGTTACCAGCAGGTATGTCTTCACTGTTGCCCTGGAGTGAAACCTTTGAAGATCCTCTTGGACCCTCACTACCAGAGGCTGGCCTTCTGCTGTGTTCTTATGTGTCATGGTTCTTCCCCAAAACACAGTACAGTGTTAGGGAAAGGGCTTTGGGGTTTCGGTAGAAAAGAGAATAAAAACCTGATTGGAATTCTCCGTATGTGGATTCTTGTGAAAGGTGAAGCTTTCCACCCCAGGGGACTTCCATCCTCTTGTAATTCCCGACAGACACCCCTGGCCCCACGAGGATGTGTCTGCAGGTGTGTCTGAGTGAGGTGGATTAGGGAGTTTGTCTCCGTTTGTCATCCTACCCCAGAGGGAAAGGGAGAGATGGCCATTCACTTCTGCCTCTCAGGGTTTGAGGCTTGTTCTTTGGCTTTATGAAAAAAAAGTTTTCTGTCTGTCTGACCAGGCAGTGTCTTAGGTGCTACTTCTTCAGTTAGCTGCCTGGTCACATGAGGCTTCTGGCTCCAGGAAACAGTAGGTTTCTTTCTTTTTTTTTTTCCTTAACTAAAAGAGAAAATAAATAAGTGTAATGTTATAGTAATGCATCCCTTCTAGATTAAAATGGAGCAATTGAGACATATTCATAAGACTTCGACCCACTACAGTGATGGAAATTAGGTTTGTGAAAGTTTCCCCATGGCTAGCATGTTCACTAGCTATCCAGGGACAACCCGACAAGGAGAGTCTAGGTCAGTGCTTTCCAGCTATTTTACATTCTGTGGAACACTTGTAATCATCCAAATTAGATCTGGTGGGGTGTGTGTGTGTGTGTGTGTGTGTGTGTGTGTGTGTGTGTGTGTGTGTGTGTGTGTGTGTGTCTGAGAGAGAGAGAGATGGGGAGGTGGACTGGAGGAGGAAAAAGGAGTTTTTCTATTGCTGAAACTATTTAGAGGAGCAACTATTTAGTGAAGAAAAATAAAGGAGAATGATCCTAAAACCTAGCATTAGTCAATCTGCAAAAATTTATTTAGTTTAATGACTGTCTATCAGAAGTATGATGAGATATAAAAATGAGGGAAAAATTTAAAAATGAGTTAGAGACCATGAGACTTAGCTAAGTTATAATAATAATTGTAACTAACTATTGTGTTTGGAATAGTTTTAAGTACTTAATTGTATTACTTACTTAATCTTGATGAGAACCTGTGTGGTGGGTATTAGCCACATTTTACCAAGAGGCAGTTGGGGCACAGAGAGGTTAAGTAACCTGCCAGAAGTGGTCCCATTCTTTAATCACTGCCTTAGGCCACCTCTGAATACTGGGAAGAGCACTGGCATTGGAGCCAGATTTGGATTTGCGCCTGGGCAGGTATATAGGCAGTGTGACCCCGGGCAAGTTGCCTAACCTTTCTAGACCTCAGTTTCCTTATTGTGAAATAAAGATAATACTTACCTCACAGGCTTACTGTGAAGATTAAATAATAAGTATGAAGCATTTTGTAAACTGTGGAGCACTATTCAAATGTAGTGTATTATTGTTACAATCTGACTGGGGACAAGAGATTTAAGAAAGCAGAAGTTAACAGTACAGGCTGTGGTTAACTCTTCAGTATAGGGACAGAAGTGTTACTAGGTAACATGATAATTTCTGAGGGCAATAATTAGGAGAATATGGGTAAAGTACAGGGGGTAGGAGTGGGAAAAGGTTGGGAACCCTCACCAAGGACTGCACTGTGCTCTTCAGTGTGAGTGAGCACTTAGCTGGGTGGAGAGGAGGGGATGGGGGCATTCCAGTAAGGGGCAAACACCTAGAGGCAGAGAACCATGTGGAGTACATGTCGACAAGACCACTGGCTGAGGAAGCGGGGTGGGCAAAAACTGGCTGCTTCTACCTCTGAACTTCTCAGCACATTTTGTAAATCTCTTCTGGTGCTAGTTACTTTGTACTGTCATCATTTCTGTCTGTAAACTGTGAGCTTCTTGAGAGCAGGACTGCCTTGCTCTTGCCTGTCTTGCTCTTGTCAGATGCCTGAGGTGTGTGGTAAGTGGTGAACTGGCTGTGGTAGAGGGTAGAAAGTGACTGTAGTTAGCACCAGCAGGGAAGGCCACGGTCTGGTGATACCCCACCATGAGGAGCTGTGATGGCCCAACTCAGCTCTGGGCCACAGAAGCCATCTGGAACGGCTTTACCTCTTTCCTAATGGCCCCAGGATCCTCCTGGTCCAGTTTCCTTGCCCACCCAATGGCCCAACCACTACCACAGTCCCCATCTCCAACTAGACCCCAGGTTTGTCCCCCACTCAAACATCACCTTATGTATCCAACCCATCACAAACAGTGGCTTTAGGGAAGTGGAAAGTAGTTCTTGCCCTCAAAAAAGCTGGGGCCCTGCTGTAATAACAGTACCTTGTCCAGAGCACTTTTCAGTTTATAGATAGGTAGATAGATATGTAGATAGGTAGATGGTTGCTGTTGAGTCACTTCCAGCTTGTGGTGACCTTATGTACGACAGACCAAAATGTCCAGTCCTGCATCCTCCTCACAATCACCAGCATGTTTAAGCCCTTCATTGTGACTGTTCTGCCAGTCCATCTCACAGAGAATCTCCCTCACCCTCGCTGGCCCTCTGCTTCACCAAACATGTTGTCCTCCTCCAGTGTTTGAGCCGTCCAGATGACATGTCCAGAGTAAGTGAGTCAGACAGTGTTCTGTTGTGGTCCATAAGGTTTTCACTGGCTAATTTTCAGAAGTAGATTGCTAGGCCCTTCTTCCTAGTCTTTCTTAGTCTGGAAGCTCTGCTGAAACCATCAAGGGTGACCCTGCTGGTATTTGCGGTGGTATAGCTTCCAACATCATACTAACACGCAAGCCCCCACAGGACGACAGACTGACAGACAGATGGTGATTTCAGTTTATAAAGCATGTTTTTAGGTTTCATTGGGGCTGTATGTATCTTCCTTGTTTAATGGATGAGGACATTGAAAATCAGAGAACTGGTGACTTGCCTAGGGTGGGGATTCAAACTGAGGACTCCAGGTTCCAAGTTTCAGGCCCATCCCATCATGCTGTCCTCCCATCAGCCAAGATGGTGATTCTGGAGTGAACCAGGAGGGCTGCTGCTCACAGACAGACAGAATACCCTGTCTGTGTTTGCTTAGCAGGAAAGTGTTTTTCCCTGTGGTTTGTTTATTCTTTGAACACCCGTTTAGTAAGCACATACTGTGGAGGGCACACAGAGATGAGTAAGGTAAAGAGAACAGCCCCAAAGGAGCCCGTGAGTCAGCAGGGGAGGTGGACTGGCGACTGGACTCCCCCACCAGCCTAGCTGCTCCATTGTGGGCAAAGGACCAACAGCACCAGGCCCCACCTCAGACTCCAGAATCAGAGTCAGCATTTAACTGGAGCCCTGAGTGTGCCTGTGCACACTAAGGCTTGAGCAGCACTGCTCTGTGGTAGGTCAGTGCTCGAGTTCGAGGAGAGGATGGGTATTGGGAACAAGCACGTTGAGCACACCACAGAGTAAAGGACCTTAACAGGTAAGTATGCATCGAGAAATCCAGGAGACTTGGATTCTAGAGAAGAAGAGACAGAAACACATTTTTAAAAAAAAAATATTGATTACATTATGTGATCATGATGTGCAGCCATTACCCATATCTGTTGCCAGGTTTGCCATCACCATTAAAAGATACTCGTTGCTTCCTTAACAATTTTCCCCCATTTGCCCTTCATCCTGTTCTTGGTAACCACTGATAAACTTTAGTCTCTATACATTTGCCTGTTCTAGATATTGCATATAAGTGGGGTTATACAATATTTGTCCTTTTGTGACTGACTTACTTTACTCAACATAATATAGAAACACATGTTTATTGAGGGCCTGCAGGGTGCTAGGAACATGTGAATGATTTATATCAGTTATCTCTTTTAATAACTGAGGCTCAGAGAGGCTAAGTGACTTGTCCAAGGTCACACAGCAAGTAAACAGAAAACCCAAAATCAGCAAAGTCCTTTCCTCCATGCTTAAGTCTGGGTTATGGGGGGTGTTTCAACCATCTTGCTCTGTGATCTTCAGCAGATGCTCTGCCTTAGATTCAACAGCTGGAAAATGTTAGGATTATACTAGAAGCATCGGTGATTTTCAACCCTAGCTGCACTTTAGAATCCCCCGGAGAGCTCTTTAAACACATACTGTTGTCCTGGGTCCCGGCAGAGATGCTGTCTTAGTTGGTCTGAAGTAGGAGTCCCTGGGTGGTGCAGACAGTTAGCGTGCTCAGCTCCTAACCAAAAGGTTAGTGGTTTGAGTCCACCCAGAGATGCCTCAGAAGAAAGGCCCGATGATCTACTTCTGAAAATACCAGCCATTGAAACCTCTCTGGAGAACAGTTCTACTCTGACGCACATGGGGTCGCCATAAGCTGGAATTGACAGCAACTGGTGGTGGAGGTGGTAGTCGGGTAGTTATTGACAAGTTATAAAGCACCAGGCAATTCTAATGCAGCCAGGGTGGCAAACACTGACCTGATGATCTACTGCCCCCCTGGCACCCTGTGGTCTCTGATATGGCTGGATCATCCCAAAAAACCAACATGGCTCTGGGCCCGTCTCCTGCTAGTAAGAAGAATCTGTGTCGTGGTGCTTGCTCTTGTAGCTTCAGATGTTCCAGAGCTCTCTTGTAGCCCCAGTAGCCAGGTTGTGTGGCAGCCCCCAGCCTGTGTATCTGGTTCTCCTTCCTCTACTGCTTGTTGACCAGGTGTATAAAGTGTGCACATGGCTTGACGTATGGGCATGTGCTGTCCCAAGGAAGACTGGAAGTGAACCTCATTTTCCCATTGACTTCACAGAGATGGCTTCTTATACAAAAGATGCTGCACTCCTCCCAACCCCTCTTTGCTTCCTTAGTCGGTTTTGAAAACATAGTAAGGAAACTAAGCTTCCTTGGGGTCAGTGGTTTTGTTGTTACTAGCTGCCATGGAGTTGGCTCTTTCATTATGTACAACAGAATGAAATGTGGTCTGGTCATGCGCCATCTTCACAGTCGTTGGTATGTTTGAGGCTGTCGTTGCAGCTGTTGTGTCAGTCCATCTCTTTGAGGGTTTCCTTTGTTTTCGCTGGCCCTCTACTTTACCACGTGATGTCCTTTTCTAGTGATCGGCCCCTCCTGATGTCCATATCGGACAATATTCTGCCTTTCCTTCCACTGAGAATTGTGATAATAGCCGACATTCGTTGCCCACTTACCATGTGCATGTGATAAAAGCCTTACATGAACCACCCTATTTTATAGTTGAGAAAAATTATAATCCCTATTTTATAGTTGAGAAAATTGAGGCTGAGAGGGGTTAATAACTACCTCAAGATTCTAGAGTAAGTAACTGGGACTCAAACCCAGGAAAACAGGTCCTAGAGCCCAGCTTTCCACTGCCTGCCTCCCTGTGTCACTACCTGGCCCCTCCAGCTCTTTTCCTCTCCCCCTCAATGGTTGGGGTCCCCAAGGTGTTGCCCTCAGCCCACTTCTCTTTTACTCCTGTCCACTTCCTCTGCCTTCACCTCCAACTGAAGGCATCTGTTCTCACCTCTGTGACGCTGATGTCCCACATCTCCCTCCTCACTTCCCAGCCTGAGTGATCACTGCCCACTGAACATCTGCACCTGGATAAACCACACACACCCCAACTCAGCTGGGACCTCCCCAGCCTCTGAGTGCTCTGCTTCTGCTCATGGTCCCGCCATCATCTTTCTGGCAGTGGTTCCAAGTCCTCCCTCACTCTTGTCCTTACAGCCAAATTTGGCGATGTTTCTCTTGTCCATCCCTCCGTTGTTTATCACTCTTCCTTGTTGCTATGATGCTGAACAGGTTTCAGCGGAGCTTCTAGTGTAAGACAGACTAGGAAAAAAGGCCTGGTGATCTACTTAGAAAGTCAGCCCATGAAAATCCTATGGATCACAGTGGTTCAACCAGCAGCCAATCATGGGCATGGCACAGGACCAGGCAGCATTCATGCTGTTGTGTACAGGGTTACCATGAGTCGTGGCTGACTCGATGACGGCTAACAGCAACAACCCTTATTACCTCTGACCTGGATCATTGTGATCCTAGCCACCCTGTCCCCTAGACAGTCTGGTGCCAGACTGATTGTCTCCAAAGCCCGACACTGCTCGTATAACTTCCTCTTTTCAAGAACCTTTGCTGACTCCCCAGAGACCCTGCAGGATGTGCACTGTCAGGATCCCTGGTCCCTGTCTTTTTCCAGCCTTAGCTTGGGCAGCATCCCCCTCTCACTCCCACTGTGGTCTGGGCCCAGCCAGATCATGTGTTCATGCAAGCAGTCTGGGTACTCTCTTACCCCTCTGCTCCTGCTGTTCTCTCTGTCTGCACTGACCTTTCCTTCCATCTGCATCCATCACCACCTTTCTCCTGAGATCTCCCTCCTGAGGCCCTGCAGCAAGTCCTGCTGTGTAACCTTTTCATTCAGGCCTACATCTTGTTTCTTTCTAGACTGGAAGCCCCTTGAGGGTAGGATCTGGCTTTCAGTGCCCTTGCATTAGGCAGCACTGGTGCCAGATGTGTGAATGTAAAACAATTCAAGGATCTGCAGGCAGCCTGGCTGCTGCAGGCAGGCCCTCACTTGCAGGGCACTTTTCCTTTGAACATTTTGAAGTTTCTCTCTCGGTTCCCTTTGATTTCTCCACTGATTGATTCTTCCTAAGTGTCTGCTCTGTGCCAGCCCTGTGCTGGCAGGACCATCGCCTAGTCCTTTCCCCATGCCCAGGGTGCCGTGGGAGCCCCTGCCCACCTCCCTTAGGGCTAGGCTGGAAAGCCCACTGAGGAGAGAGCCTCCAGAGTCCAGAAGCTGAGTTAGGCTCTTGGCCGATTATTGAGTTCCTGTGAAGTTAAGAGCACTTTATGAGCATTTCTAAAACATGGTCTTCGCCTTTCCAGGGCTTCTTCCTCATTCAGGTGGGTCTTTTCTGAGCTGGGAGCTATTACAGGGAGCAGGAGTGATTGGCCTAGTGTCCTGGGACCTGGATGGAGTTAGCTGACAGCAGCCCACGTGCAGCTGCTGGGGTTTACAGTGGAGGATAAAAGATACTAGGATGAGTACAGTAATATGAGAACACTCCCTAGAGAGGGAGAAAATCTGGCTCTGCTACTGAACTGCTCGTTATAAAAGGAGGAGGCTGGAAAAGAATTCTGAGGGTCCTTCCAGCCCTCAAATATTTTCGCTAATAAACCTCATGCAGGTAGGCTTTGACACTATTTAATAAGGACATACATTTCTTCTGTGCTATCAGCTGCCCTCTTGAAAGGATGTTTTGGGTGAGCTTGTATGTGGGACAGGGACCAGGTACCAGTGAAGGGCCAGTACTGCACCTGAGAAAGGGATAGGGAGGGTCCGTGAAGCCAGGAAAGCAGATTCCCAGCCTGTCTGGCCAGTGGAAGGGGTCCTTGACTGGCAGGTCTGCAAGGCCCTGGTGAGGGTTGTTCCATGTTCCTCCTCCTGTTAGCCCCTCATGCCGCTCCTCAGGACAAAGTGTGGAGCAGACCTGGGTGTGGCAGAGGGTGCAGCCTGGTTGTGCTGTGGTACAGTGGGCCGGCGGCCAGTTTCTGTCCTACATCAGGGAGGGCTGATGGCCTGGAGAGATGCCCACCTAGGGAAGGGAACTTGCTAGCCTCACCTCCCTAGCGGGTGGAGGCTGCTTCCTGTTTTCCTGCGCAGGCAGGCAGGG